CCTTATTCTGGAGACAATTTTTAGAATTACAGTCCCTGGCAATTTATAGAATTACAGTCCCTGTGCCTGGACAAGTCTTGAAATAATTCCTAAAGGACATGAGGTATTAGTCCAAGGCAAGGAGGATCAGGCTTCTTGGCCATAAAAGAAGTAGCATCCAGTAGGTGCTCATGGAGATATACAATAAAAAGACTTATTCACGACACAAAGTTACAACCAGAGCATCTGGTTAGCTGGGTTGTATCTTCAAAGAGAGATAGTAGCAAAGTCATAGGTTGATTTGTTTAAAGTCATTTGTTCCCATAAATGTAAGTGGAAATGCCATTGACTGTATTTTCCTATGGTCTTATTGAATGAGACTGGAATTGCCTGGAGGATTTTATCGTGGGGATCTAGTGATAGATAGCAAGTTCAGAAATCAGTAAGATCAAAGGAGTGGCTACTGTTTGGGATAATCTAAGAATTAGTATATTGTGACCCAAAACTTTTCGAAGAAGAGGAAAGAACAGAGAAAAAGGTCCATTATGGATGTACAACAACTAGGACTCTATAGAAGATGAGGAGAGTGATTATATGGAGGTGGATTAAAAACAAAACCAGAATTAGATAGGGTTCCTTGTTCACTACCTTGGGAAGAAGCTGTCCCCTATGTGAGGTCATCAGTTGTGTGCTTCTGAAAGCTGGCTATTTCTAGAGGATCTCTGAGAGCCTCACTTGAGGTCTTATTATGGAGTATCCTTCCAGTTCTGCTGAATTCTGCATTGCTTCTCTAGTTGTGAACCCAGGAATTGACTCTTGGAATTTCACTGCTGTATTTATTGCTACCAGTACCTGATAAGGTCTCTTCCAACAAGATTCAAAAGCAGTTTTTTTTTTTTTTTTTTTCTGATTTTTTCTCAGTAGACAAGAAGATGATGAAGATGCTATTTAGGATGATATTGTGGGAAGGGGGCCTTAACCTGTTGCTGACAAGCTGGATATAGTACATCATTATTATCTGTTATATTATTTTGCCACATCTGTGTGTAGCAGGTCAGAAGTACTAGAATACGAGATGAAATACCTGAACCCACGGGCCTTCTAATTACCCATTTGTAGGAGGATAGCCAGTGTGTCCTTGAGGGAGTGGATTGCATGGCCATAAGGACTAGTGGTAGTAATTTTGGCCAAGATGAAAGAGCTGCTGTTACATCAGCACCTTTAACTCTTGAATATTGTTGAAGGTTATCTTCTCGTCTATCCTGAAAATCTCCTACAGTTTCATATGTTGTCTGTTCGCATGATTGCATTTTGGTCAAGCCTATTTTAAAAAACATTTTGGATGGCTATATTTTATATCCTTCCAATAAATGGAGCTAAATGTTTTCCCAATTAAGATCCACCAATGATCTCTGAAAAAGCATGAAAAGAGGTAGTGAATAGTCTGAGTGAATATTTCTGAACTTTTACCCAATAGAAATTGATAATTAATATTCCATGATGTATGACTGATCTTAGCTAATGTCTACATTTGCTTTTTTTTTTTTAAATTTCAACTTTTATTTTAGATTCAAGGGGTACATGTCCAGGTTTGTTACATGCGTATTGCATGATGCACAGGTTTGGAGTATGATTGATCCCATCACCCAGGTACTGAGCATAGTACCCAGTAGATAGTTTTTGGCCAAGTCTACTTTGTTTGGAAATGTTTTGAGTTTTAGAAAAATTTGTCCTACTTTTTATACTTTTTTTTTTTCTTTCTTTTTAAAGAGAGACAGAGTCTCTAACTCTTGGGCTCAAGCAATCCTCCTACCTCAACTTTTTTTTTGGTAAACTCCTGGGCTCAAACAATCCTCCCATTCCAGCCTCTTGATTTTTGTAATTGTGGAAAGAATAATTCCACAGATCATTTTCCGGGATAGTCCAATTAGCTTTTGCTATTGAGGGTTTAGATTCCAATCAATGTGTATAGCTGGATAAAGTTTGGTAACCCTGAGTCAAATGCACTCAAAAAAATTCTAGATTCTTCTATAAATAGTTGCTGGTCTTATCTAGGATTCTTCTATAGATAGCTGCTAGCTCTTCATTTAGCTTGAGACCAGAGTTTAAATTCTGCAGTGGTCTAAATGCCTAGCCCCTGGGTGAGATGGATCTTTAAATGCAACCGGCATCTTGGGGCCTTAGGAGGGTTACTGGGAAAAGGTAGGGAGTTTTGAAAAGGAGGAGAGGAGTTGGGAGAGGTGCAGAAGGAGAGAGATCAGGACAAGGGGGAAGAGGGCACTGGATATAGAGAGGCAACTAAAAGGGAAGGAAGGGAGAATTTACAGAGAAATGAGTCTGGTTTGTGTTGTTTAAGATTGTCAAATTGTTCATAAGCTTTGACCAAATAATCCTTTGTAAAGCGTTTTGAATCAGAGCACTGTTTGGAGGCTTCTGCATGCTAATAAAAATACAGGCTGCCCAGTGGGCCTGAGCAATCTTATTCCCTTTTTCCCCTAAGGGCCTTTCAAATAAACAGTTTTGTTCAAGCCTCATGTTGCTTAGAGTATCCATTGAAGATGATGTTGATGAAATGAGGTATGATAGGCACAGTAATTAGGATTGTAATGAGAGTACATATAAGAAGCAAGAGTTTTTTCTGGAGGAGAAGAATTAGACTTACATAACCCCATGAGAGGTCCCAGCAGTTGGTGAAAGTGGTGTCTCAGAGCCCCCACCTCACAAGTGGATGCCTTCAAATGCTGACCTGACAGTCTTTACCCTGCCAACAAGAAAACCAGAGAATGTTCTCTCTGGATTAGAGACAAGCTCTCAGGATACAAAATAAAGATAGAAGGAGAACCTTATCCAGTTTTGTTGATGAGTCACAGAAACGTTTGTCCAAGTGGCTGCTGATCTGGTGAGAACCACAGAATCATCAGTCTGTAAAGCTGGCCTAGACAACAGGCTTATAGGGCTGTGCCTGTGTTGTACCCTGTGATTCTCTTCATGGTAAACAACACGGAGACAGCACAATGCAAAATAGGAGGACAAAAGGGAGAAAACATGGATGAAAAGGAATGGCTTGATTCCTCCAAACAAATGGGAGCCGATAACAAAACCTGGTATTACCAAGAGGAAAATAAATAGCCAAAGAACTCAATGCCAAGAGAGTGGAATCAGACACAGTGCTGAATTACCACATTGCCACAGACCTCACAGCCTGTGAGAGGCTGCAGGCAGCAAGGCACAAGGGGCCTCGTGGGTGCCATACCTGGTTAAGACTAGAGTCCATGTCGATAGGCAGTGTAGATTGTATCTTTGGGGGGCATCCAGGTTAACTGGAAATAAACAAAGACCACAGAAAGGAGACCAAACAGATTCTATTTATTCAGAGCTTGCTATTGCAAGGGAGGCTGCTGCCATCTTTAGTGTTTGGCAGAGACTCAAACGCAGGCAGTAGAATGGGAAAGCTTTTTTGACTTTTTTTTACAGTCAAAAAAGAGAAGATTTCAGGTACATGTGCTGTGATCAGAGGTTGCTGGCATGAGGAAGATGGAGGCAGGCTAACTAGAAGCAGAGCATCTAACATGGTTGATTTGGAAAAAATATTTGGTTGGAAGAAGAGACAAAAAGTAAGGAAGCTGGCAGTCACTGACTAAACCCTGATCATTATGGGCAGATTGCTGCAGGGGTTGTGGCCTGGCTTCTCGGGCTGGTTGCTACAGAGGTTGTAGGTCAGAGTTCTGTTATCATACGTGGTCTGGCCATGTGTGTTTGTATATTTAGTCTCTCAGTAAATATGAACTCCAGTCTAATCTAACCACGAATTAACTCTAAGTGAACAAGAGCTGGTCTTTACTTTCAGAGTTTATTCCCTAGCAAATATGTTCTGTCAAGGGCAGATAATAAACATTTTAGGCTTTGCAGGCTAGACAGGCTTTGTCATAAGTGCATGAAACCAGACATAGGTAATACATAAATAAATAGGAGTGTCTGTGTTCCAATAAAACTTTATTATTAACACTGGGATTTGAATTTTATGTAATTTCTATGTGTCATGAAATAACATTCTATTGTTTTGTTCCAAGCATTAAAAAATTTAAAGACAGTATTAGCTTGTGGGCCATATAAAACGGGATGGATTGGATTTGGTCCTTTGGCCAAATGGTTTGCCAATCCCTGCTCCGGTAGGGGATAGATAACAAATGCAGTCATGTATCACTTAATGACCGGATATAGTCTGAGAAACGTGTTGTTAGCTGATTTTGTCATTGTGCAAACATTGTAGAGTGAACTTACACAAACCTAGAAGGTAGAACCTGCCACACACCTAGGGTATATGAGATAGCCCATTGCTCCTAGGCTACAAACTTCTATGGCAGGTTACTTTACTGAATAGGGAATTAAAACACAGTGGTTAGTATTTAAGTGCCTGAACATACCTAAACATAGACAAGGTATAGGAAAAATACATTCTATAATCTGATGAGACCATTGTCTTAAGCTCTTTGGGCCACCGACACACCAATATCATAAGCATAGACGTTGATGTGGCCAGAGGCTTAGCCAGTGAAGAAGAATGCAAGCAGCACTGAGTGCCCAGGGTCCCTGCTGGTATTCCACCACCATGAGTTCTGAGCCCCAACAGGAGAAGATTAAGGCCTACATCTTATTTTTATCTTGTTTAAAGTTTTAACATTTAAAAAATGACAATTATTCTTCCTTTTCTGAATACAAAGGTAGCACAAAGCAAAGCCATTATGCAAAGCTGGGAAATGTAGGAAAGCTCGGAAAAGAAAACAGGATCCCCTGCATCTTGCCATCCAGAGATAATCCCTGTTAGCACTTAGGAGAGTCTGCCCATGCCTTTCTCCTACATGAGTATTTTATGTACCTCTTGTACATTTGTAACAGCTTTATTGAGATAGTTTATATATAGTACAGTTCATCCATTTAAAGTGAACAATTGAATGGTTTTTGGCATATTACATTATTAATTTTTAAGGCTGTGTTTATAGACTGGGTGTGGTAGATCATACCTGTAATTCCAGCACTCTGGGATGCCGAGGCTGGTGGATTGCAAGGTCAGGAGTTCAAGACCAGTCTGGCCAACATGGTGAAACCCCGTCTCTACTAAAGATACAAAAAATTAGCAGGGTCTGGTGGCACATGCCTGTAATCCCAGCTACTCCGGAGGCTGCGGCAGGAGAATTGCTTGAACCCGGGAGGCGGCGGTTGACAGTGAACCGAGATCACACTATTGCACTCCAGCCTGGGCAATGGGGCAAGGCTCAATCTCAGGAAAGAAAAATTGTGTTTATATATGTCTAACATAAAATTTGACATAAAAATTTTAACTATTTTTAAGTATGTAATCTAATGGTATTGATTACATTCACAGTGTTGTACAGCCCTTAACACTATTTCTCAAGCTTTCTTAACACCACAAACAGGAGCTCTCTAACCCCTTAGCAATAGCTCTCCATTTCCCTTTCCCCAGCCCCTAGTAACTTTCAATGTACTTTTTTGAGTCTATGAATTTGCCTGTTCCAGGTATTTCATTTAAGTGGAAGTATACACTATTTGACCCTTCTGTGACAGGCTTATTCACTTAGCTTGAATGTACTCATGGCTCTGTAGTCTACTTTTAAATTTAACAGCATATTGTGAGAATGATCATGGTTAGGCAGAGGCTAGGCCATGAAGTTGGATTGAGTTTTATAAACCAAGCTAAAGAATTTGGATTTTGTTTTGTAAGTAATGAGGGAATATTAAAGTTTTTTATTTTCCCTTCCCTTGCTTTCTTTCCCTTCCTAACTTCCTTCCCTTTCTTCCTTCATTCTGTCCTTTCTTCCTTCCCTCCCTTTCTCCGTCCTTCCCTTCTTCCCTCTTTCCTTCTTTCAACAAGAGTATAACATGAGATTTTTGTTTTGGAAAGAACACTCTGGCACAGGTATATAGACTAAAGGATGGAAGACTAATTTGTAGTTTTGCCCAATTTGACTTTTAAAGTTACATTGACAGATTAAATACTTTTCTATTTAAAGTGAAGCACAAGTCACTCTGTATTCACCCCTTTCTCAATACAAAGAAAATTACACTCAGGTACTTACTCTGGTCACTGGAAGAAACGTGGTGTTGCTGTGTCACTGCCCTATTCGTTTTTGCTTCTCACTGTATAAAGTCTCCTTTTCACTAATTCAGGCATGTCCATGTTGCTTGTGCAAGTTGGATTTCAAGCTATTTTGGATAAGGATCCTGCTTTATTTTACCTTTCTCTCCTGTGTCCTACAGTGTCTGATGCCAGAGTTGGCAGTCATGAATATTTGATTAATTGATTTGAAAATAAGGCCTAAATTCTAAGATTAAAATACTGTATGTTTATTTTTTATGCTGTGAATGCCTTCTTCAAATTGAAATTCAGCAGATCTATTTTTGTTTTTAAATTATGGTCATTTTGATTCATCAAGAGTTTATTCCTAAGTTTTGATTATGCATTTAATCTATTTCTCATTACAGTCCTTTCCATTTTGATCCATTGTTTCTCTATTCTTTATTACCATCCACAGATTCACTTCTTTATTTTCTTCTATATCATAAAAGTATCATGAAGAAATGATGCTCATTATACTGCTGCATAGTCTGACTACCATTCGTTTCCACATGTCCTAAAAACCAATTGCAACCATCCTGTTTACCTCTCCCAAAGGAAACCAGGCTATGAGGAGCCAATACCCTCAATTGATAGGTCTGCCAATGGTTGCACAGAATTTTGAGAAGTCTGAAAACTCAGGCTCAGAAATACAAGAAAGGTAGTACAATAACAGCAGAGGAGTCTCCTTCCAGCTATTGGACAGTTTCCAGAACAAGGTCCCTCTCTGCTCCAACACAGGGGGAGGATGGCATCTGTCAGGAAGAGCCCACTGTCACCTCTTTGCCAATGTAAACAGCTAATTATCCCTTCTGAATAGGCTTGTATGTAATTGTTCCTGCATTTTCATAAGAGGCAAGATAATTTGAGGCACACTAGAAATACCCATAAAACAGGAGCAGGCGCTGAGAGTGGAGCTGAAAGGGGCCATCCATCCACCACCAAAATCAGTAATTCGGAGTATTCCTGATAAAGCAGAGTATGGCTGCTTTATCTCTCATTTACTTCTCCTTCTCTCTTTCCTTCCCCAACATGGGTTCAAATCCACTGGTGAAAGAAGGACTGGTTTATCTGAGGTCTTGAATAGTAGACCCTGGCACAAGCAGCATCTTGGAATGGGAAGGTGTGAGATACCCTTGTTCCACCACCTCCTTCTCTCTCCTACCAAGTATTATATGAGACTGGAGGTGTTTTCCTTGTTTTGGCCCTTTTTCCTTATCTGTAAAACAGGAAGTTGGATAACATGATCTCTGAGGAACCTTGAAGCTCTAACACTTAAAATTTCTCCTTGATTTCCTGGTCGCTTGACCTATAGATCAGCCTTCTTTCTCTTCCTCCCTTCCTTCCTTTTCCTGGTTTTGGTCAACCAATGTCCTTCCTTTCATTTAGCAGGAGATATAGTGTTCATTCTCTACCTTGTCTTATTGGGAAATTTCCTGAATCCTTCAGTCAGAGGATTGGCTGGGCTTCAAAACTCTGCCTCCATCAATGGGAAGGTATGGCCTTCCTTTCTGTATAAGTGATGTGTGTGATTAGTACAGGGTTTTTGTGAGAACATTTGATTCCTGAGTGTGAGTCATGAATTGGAGCCAGCATCATGGAAGCAATAGTGAGGATTATAAGGAAGTTGTGCTGTTACTGCAGGTCTCAGTCAGTGTTTCCTGGGTTGTACCCTGGCACCCATGCCTGTGTATGATTTATGACACATCTCCTAGGGGAAAATGCAGAAAACCACCCTGTGGGCCTAACCCTCTAGCCTTACAGTGATATGCACCATCTCTACTACTCAGGTCGGCTTGGCTGCCATCATCTGCTCTTACTGATGGTGCCTGATGGGCCATCACCTCTAAACCAGACTTAGTGTGTTTTTTATTTTCTGGTTGCTTTCAATTTCAATTCTTAGTGAAGTTCCCCTTAAAACAGAGAATGTTGAGTCTTGACCATTTGTATTTTGGGTTCTGTTGATCTCTGCTGGAGTGCTTGTGCTAATCTCCATCATTTTCACTTTTGAAATTTTCTCTCGCTTTTTCTTACTTTTTATAAGTTTTGGATTCCTCTGTTTTCACTTCAGAATCCTAAATATTGAGGGTCCTAAATTGCTTTATCTTGTAGGCTGTTTTTACCTCATTGGAGCTCTTTTGATCAGACATCATCTTTTCTTCATGCTTCATGTCAGACTTAGATGTCCTTGTCTCCCAGGGAGCCCCCCACCCCATGAGTCTGCCTTCAGCTAATCCCATTGTTTTTATTTTTCATCTTTAGCCTGTCCTGGTGCAGCAGCTGCCTCACCAGCCTCTTTTTGCTTCAATTTGTCTGCAGAATCTACCCCTCTCTCCATAGCATGTCAGACAAAAATTTTCACAATCAGCCCCTGGTGTTTCTCTCCAGCCTAGTTCTAGTTCTCTCACAGTTCAGTTATATACCTCCCACCTTACTACCTTCAATGTACAAGGATCTTTCCTACCTCTGTGCTTCTGTTTGCATGACTACCCCAACCCTTGATGCCCATTTCCCTATTTTCTGGCTGGTGAATTATTTTTATTTATATTTATTTATTTATTTTTGAGACAGAGTCTTACTCTGTCATTCAGGTTGGGGTGCAGTGGTGCAATCTCAACTCACTGTAACCTCTGCCTCCCGCGTTCAAGTGATTCTCCTATCTCAGCCTCCTGAGTAGCTGGGATTATAAACATGTGCCACCATACTTGTCTAATTTTTGTATTTTATTTTTAGTAGATATGGTGTTTCACCATGTTGGCTGGCTGGTCTTGAACTCCTGACCTCAAATGGTCCATCTGCCTTGGCCTCCCAAAATTCTGGGATTACAGGTGTGAGCCACTATGTCCGGCCTTCTGGCTGATAGACCCTTACTCATCATTCAGTATACAACTCTTACATTGCTTCTTCTGTGAGGCTTTCTTTGCTGCTGGGTTGAGTTCTTTCCTCCTTGGAGCCCCTAAAACACATTGTTTTTAGCCTTGGAGAGCATGTTTTCACATTGTATTATCATTACTTGCTTTTGTCTTTCCTTCCCATTAGACAATATGCTCCTCGAGGGAAAGCCAACATCAGTTTCTATATACAGGGCCCCACACCTGCCAGAGTCTAGAGAAGTGGCAGGGACTATTAAGAAGACTTTTGTTACTATTGAGGGCAGGGTTCAAGTCCTGACTTACCATTAACTGGCTGCTATGGTTTGGATATTTGACCCATCCAAAACTTATGTTGAAATTTTTTTGAAAGTAGGGCCTAATGGGAGGTGTTTAGATTATGGAGGCAAATCTGTCATCAGTAGCTTGGTGCTGTCCTCACAGTAATTAGTAAGTTTTCACTCTGCTAGTTTTCATGAGAGCTGGTTGTTTAAAAGCCTGGCACCTCCCTCCCCTCTCTCTTGCTTCCTCTCTTGCCATGTGATCTGCACATGCAGCTCCACTTTGCCTTCCCCCATGGGTGGAAGCTTCTAGAGGCCCTCATCAGAAGCAGATACTGGCCCCATACTTCTTTTACAGAGTACAGAACCATGAGCCAAATAAACTTCTTTCTTTATAAATCACCCAGTCTCGGGTATTACTTTATAGCAACACAAATGATCTAAGACAGAGGCCGTTGGCCTTGGGCAAGTCACTTTGTCTTGGCTTCCTGTTCTGTGTCATGGGAGTAATGCTATTTATTTTGCACACTGGTTCTAAGAATTAGAGACAACAACATTGAACGGTTAATAGAATGCTTGTTGTAGAGAAGATCACGGTATTTGTTTATCCTATGAATGGTTGTCTGGTCAAATGATGCTGCTTTGTAATCACTTTCTGTGCTATCCTGTTTTCCTAGGCCTTTCTTTTTAGTTTTTGCTTTCCCTCCCCCACCGCCCGTCTTATTTCTAAGCTGTATATTCTTGGCATGTTTAAGCATATTCATTTGTGGGAGGGTGACAAGAAGTAGAGAAAGGAAAAAGGAAATTGAGAAGCTGCCTTCATTTGGACAGTGATGATCCAGTTTTAACTTGACAGTTGTTCTGTGATAGACTTCCCAGTCTGGTTAGGTACATGAGGCATGATGGTATTATGGTGGGGTTTTTAGCAAATATGCCATATTTTGCACAGGTACACACTTTTACAAATTCATGCACACATACACAGATGTTAAAATACATTTCTGTCTCCTGAGTTAGCCCCTCAAGTGTCACCTTAGGCCACCTACCCAGTGATTTTATTGCTCTGCAGTTTTATTGCTTGGCATTCTCTTTCATCTCTTCTTCCAGAACTGCATATTCTTTAGGATCTCCTCAGTGATGACAAGTCAGCATTAATAGTGATACTAGGAATAATAACCTACAGGCATTGAACCCTTACAAGGAGTCAAGTAGTTATTACATGCTTTACATGGATTATCTCACTTCATCCTCACAACAAGCTCATATTACAGATGAGGATACCAAGGCTTGGAGAGACTATGGATTTGCCCACATCCACAGTTACTAAGTGGCAGAGTTGAAATGTGAACTGAGGAGTCTGGCTTTAGGCACCATGGCCTAAACCACCAGCCTGAGTGGTTATCTATTGCACATTTTTGGTTGTAGTTGCCTTTTAGAAACCAAACTGTGTATGGTCAGTTAGGTAATAGTTGCATTACATACCACACCTAGTATGTAAGCTAGATTGAAGTAGACTTTTGATCTATTAACTATTTCATGCACTTAATTGCATACCTAAAAAAAAATCTAAGAAGACCACCACAGTACGTATTTCCAATATAATTATGTCATAGCGCCTCTTCTGCTTTATGCTAGGAACTATTTGAAAGTTTAAAAGAATATGTATGGAAAGTAAAACAACAGACACTATGATAATTATTTCATCTCATGTGGTTTAGAAATAAAATATATAAGAGGAAAGAGAGGAGGATGGGGACTAGTACTTGGGTCAGTTGCTTTAGAAATATTGTTTGGTATAAAAAAAAAACCTATGCCATAGTCATTTCCATTCTCATGTTCTAAATGAGGAACTTGAGGATGACTAAGGTTCAAGTTCATTCCAACAATGAACTCATTTTCTGGCTCAGAAACTCATGTACTCTCCAC